ATGAATCAATTTTCTAATTTTTAGGTGATTCCTAGCACAGACCCATTGGACAAGCCAGATTTCAATGCCGTGAATTATATCAATTCTTTGTTTCCAACTGAGCAATCTCTATCAAATATTGATGATGTCATTAATAAAATGGAGGACCAGATTCAGTTTATTGATGAGGAGATCAGGGTCGTTGTCAGAGGCCAGACGAATGCAGGACAGGTAATCAATTTATCTTATATCATTCTTGCATTGCAATTAAAAACCAGCAACTGCCAGCAAAACTAGAAAACATTCCCTTTTTTTTGTGTTCTAAACCTGTACTCACACTTCGTGATCATCAAAAAGTTCTTTAAGATATCTAACTTCTTTAGGAAATTTCCAAGCTGTGAAATGTTTTTAAATCATGGAAAATTGAGTCAATGTAGGTACTCAAAAAGCCCTTGAATTTAACTTCATCTGGTGTGTTTGTTTAAAACTGTTTCAGGGATCAGCCTCTCACTATATTACCTTTTACCCATGGAGACTCCCAAAAAGTTGAAATACGTTGCCTAGAAAATGTCATACTTTTTTTTTGTACGATTAATTATTAGCAGACATGTAGTCCATCATCCATCATCAATCATCAATTTTGACTCAGGTGATTGGTGAACTATGAAATGTTTTTATCTCATGCTTAAAATTGGATTTGTTTAACTTTGTCCTTCTTCAATGAGCATGGATTCATATCATCCATAGGACAGCTAACCTCAATAAAAATTTTAAGACTCAAAATTTCATATTCTAAGAAAGCTGTCCCTGAAGATTTTTCTAATTTTTTACAGGATGGGCGGGCAGCTCTTGAGGATGCGCAACGAGTCATTAGAAAACTCTTTTCACATGTCCGTAATATCAAAGAAAAGTCAGAAAAATCAGAAGAAACCGTGCGAGAAATAACAAGAGATATCAAACAGCTTGATTGTGCCAAGCGGAACCTCACGTCAGCAATCACAACTCTCAACCATGTGCACATGCTATTTGGTGGCGTTGAAAACCTCAAGTAAGTGACAGAATATTACAGTCCCCATAGATTTCTGTATTGTACTTAGCTGCTAAAAGGATTTGTGTAAAATGGGTCCAAATTCTCTTTCGGTAGTTCCTTTTCAGACTTGAACCATTCAATCAGAAAAAATGAGCCGTATATTCCTGAAGATTTTAGCTCCTTCAAAATTTTGGGGAGATTTGGCAGGAGGTCAGAGTGCCAAGTTGACAAAATTATCACAAATTTACTTCGGATGATGAAGTAAGCATAGCAAAATGTGGATTGCATTTGTAATTTTTGAGTTACAAGAACTTCTAGTAAATGTATCAAATAATAGGATTTTGTCAAGTTAGGTATAACCTCTAAAACGCTGATAAAATACATTTTCATTTTACAACTTGGGAGATTCTTTGGAAAGCAAGTTTTTAATTTTTATGAGTAACAGAAATGTAGATCTTAAATCTTACTTGTCAGCTTTCTTCCCTCCCACATGCTGGGAAATGTTTTAAATAATCAGTATCAAGAAGGAAAGTGAGCAGAGTATGGGAAAAGCAGTCATCAATTCGTGTTATGTTCAATTATTTTTCAATTATTTCAATTATTTTTTTGTCTGTTTGTTTTCACTTTATGTAGGATTTTGTCAGCAAAAAGACAGTATGGAGAGATAGTAAATCTTCTGCAAGGTATAATTGAAGTCATGACTCATTTTAAAAATTATTCGGACATTCCACAAATAGCGCAATTATCTGTAGAGGTGAGTCTTTACATTTAATTCTCTTCATTTCTTCTATACCTTCAACTTTACTTACAATGTAGAGTGCATATCCAAATATTTCAAGATTTACAATGATATCTTGATCTCTTCAATGATAAAAAATGCAAAACGATAATAAGGTGGTCAAAACTTGTGAAAATATTGTTTACAATTTAAGGAAAACTTTTTGAGCTCATTAAAATGTAGAGCAAGGCAAATTACAAAGTTGATGATGCTTTTAAAGTATAAAATTGAGAATACAGTCATTTTGCATTCATAGGCTTTTTGTAAAAGGGTCCAATTGATGACTATCATCTGATTGTTTATTTAAATTTTAAGTTCCAAATGATAATATAATAAGTAATGATAGCAATGATAAGTTTTATTACAGAGATGTCACCTATAAATGTAATTCTTCAATTTCTGTCAATAACTTCCCATTGTAACTTTTATTTTAGATATCCACCTATAAGTATAGTCCTTTTTTTTCTGAGGAAAGAAAAAATATGGAAGAAAGACGTGTCAAGTTTGATAATCCGTGCTGCCATTTTAAATTGTGATTATTTTTTTAAGTAGGTACAGATTTTCTGTTTAAAAAGGAATCATTCTTTGGTCAGAATGATGAGAAATTGACTTTTCGGAGGCAAAAAAATGTCATGTTTTTTCTTTTTTCATGTTTGACTCTAGGTACAAGAAATTCAGGTTTCTTTGGCGAAGCAAATCAATGAAGATTTTCGTGAAGCTTTCACCGGCCCAAATGCAAAAAATTTCATTCCTACTAAACAATTAGCTGAAGCATGCCGAGTTGTTTCAGTTTTAGATTCAAAAGTCATGTAAGTTTCTACAACTGTCAATTAAACTAGGAAGGAAGCAGTTATTGTATTGATGCCATTCATACCCACATCGACAAGTCTCAACATTTTAACAATGGAAATATAAAATTTTGGTATCAGAGAAAATCAAAAATAGTCAGGGAAAAGTCAGGGGATTTAAAAATGAAGAAATGATGGCAACCCTGTTGAATGGCAAATGTAGATCTCCTTACATAATGCCCTCGAACTCTCAATTTTTATCTGGAAGGTGTGGCTTGCGAAAAGAGTATCCGTTTACCGGAAAACCTATGTTTATATGCCTTGGTTTGATCTGCAAATCTAGGTCTGCCTGACTATCAAAGTCTGCTGATCGGAAGTGCAGAACCTTTCAGGCTCCTAAATTGTCACTGCTGCCCACTCGTTTTCCACATTTGCTCATCAGTTTTTCTCGAATTGCTCACTGATTTATAAATTCATGATCCCTCTCTTTTTTTCCTCAGACTTTTATCTTGCGGCCTTGGAAAATTTTCCCTCACCCCACATTTTCAGGCTCTGTCCGCATTTTAATGTGCCTGCCCAGGCGTGTGATTTTGCACTTTTTGTACCTTTGTACTGATAATATATATCTATTTCATACAGGGTTATTCAAAAGTCACGCACCACTGGCCATGAGGAGGGTGGTCATTTAAAATTTTTGAGTTGCCCCCCGCCCTCCTTCCCCCGAGTGGATCAAAAACTGGAATGTACCTCAAAAAGTTTCCCCCTCAATATATGGAAAAACGTCGTAAACCGCAAGTCGATATCATAATTTGAACTTAAAGTTATAGCCAGTGGTGCGAGACTTTTGAATAACCCTGTATACTGTTTCATTTTGGTTCTCCTTCTTTTTTCAGGGAAGATCTATTAAAATGGTTCATCTCTCTTCAGTTGTCTGAGTACAGCCATTTGTTTCACGAGGCCGAAGAAGGAGCCTGGATCGACAAGTTAGATCATCGATACATCTGGTTCAAGAAACACCTCCTGCAGTGTGAAGACAAATTTGGTGCAATGTTCCCACCTCATTGGGAACTTTCAGAACGGATTACTGTTGAATTTTGCAACATTACAAGGTACTGATGATTTTAGCCTCTTTGCACTCTGTTATCTCCATTTCCATTTTCAGGGAATTTGATTGAGATTCAATTCGAAGGGCAAAGTTTAACGACTATTTTCATGTTCAAAATATTTTTTCTCCGCTTTGAATTTTTCACAGGCAATTTCATGACAGACACATTTTTGTGATTTTTTCTGAAAACCCACTCATTGAACTCTAAAGCTATATTTCCAGAATGTGACTTTGTGCATTGCACAAAGTTGCATTCTTTGTGGATCTTTGTGGTCTAATTCCACGTCCATAATATTGTGAAGCTAGCCTTGCAGCACAAAAAATGTATTGATAAAGACTGTGACCATTTGATAAAGCAAGACATATTCCAGTTATCGGTACTCTCCTTGTCTGTAAAACCCAGGAGAGGTTCACTGTAGGAGAAGTTCACCTCTGATCAAGCTGGTGAGATTCGCATTGCCATGAAAATACGAAGCTCTCATGCAACTGTTTTTTATCCAGATACTCTGCCATTTCGGTATTGTATTCATGGCTTTTGTAATTTTTTTTTTATTTTATTTGATTTAAAATTAATAATTGTTTTTTTCAGGAATGAACTGACGAAATTGATGACAAAGCGGAAAAATGAGTTGGATGTGAAATTACTTCTGTATGCCATTCAAAGGACGGACAATTTTGAGAGTTTATTAGCTCGTCGATTTAGTGGTGTCACTCTGACAAACAAAAAAACAACAGGATCTAAACATGTCTCACAGGTAATTAATGCTCATTCATATCTGTCACTAAGCTCTAAACTGAGAAAGGTATTTTTTCATTAACATCATATATTACAAAGAAGAAAATGCACGGATTTAACCAGAAGTAGTCTGACTGCATTTTTTGTCGGCTAATTTTCTCTCATTTTTTATTATTGAACAGAGAACTAAACTCGGTATTTACGGCCACTTAATTTTCTGTAAATTTTCTGTAGATCATGAAGAATATACTAAAAAAATTTCAAGTTTCATTTTAAATCAGTTTTTCGTTCCAAAAATAAAACAGTAGAGAAAATTCGGCAACATTTGATATAGTTAGGCTGTTATGATTACATCTGTCCAATCAAGCCTGTGTGAATGCTTCAATTCCAAATAATAATAACAGTCAGACCAAAATTCAGCTCAAATAACCAAACAATAAGTCAGGAACTTCGTGCATTTTTTTTATTTTTCCATGCAATGGTGTCCCTCTTTTTAGGGTTCTTATAAGTGCCAAATCATTGAAACTTATTTCTCTTATCCTGCATTTTATAGCTTGCATCTAGTCAAGTTATTTTCTTACTCTTTATTTCAGTATTAAATATTTTCTATTTTTAGAATACCGCATCTGAGGATTCGCTAAAAAATGACACCGAAGAGACTACCTTTAGCCCAGATTCAGAAGCATCTGACAGCGCAAAAGATGCTTCACCGAATAGTGACTCAAAGCAGGAAGCCACGTCCCCATTCCACGGAATAATAGGACAATGCTTTCAGCCATTCTTGTACATATACATTGAAAGCTTGGATAGGTAAGTCTTCCCCATTGTGATACCTTAACAGTAATCTAAAACTTGTCACTCTAAAGAATCAGAGAGTTAGTTAACCCTCTCTCCAAAGAATTTTCCCCTCAAACTGAAACGAAAGTTTTTCTAGTAAGAGGATTCCTGGTAACGCGTTGCCTGCCATGCTGGTTGTATTTAACCCGCACGGGTTCTGCAAGAGCCTATCGTGTGTTTCAGAATTCAGAACCCCCCCTCTCCCCCCCNCTCCCCCCCCCAAAGTAATCAGAACAAAAGTTCCAAGAAACGAAACTACAGAATCAATAACATTGTTTTAAAGAATGGAGAGCATAGCTCAGAAAGGACCTTGAATCCTGCTTATAACTTATTAACATGAAGTAAATCACCAAGTGATTACAGTGATTACATCACCGCAGTAGGATGTTAGGAAAACTTAATTCACTTTCTTTTTGTCCTTTTTTCCTCTTAATGAAAATGCATGAAAGTTTATTCAATTCAATCACTTTAATATGATTTTCCTATTTTTATTTTATTTTTTCTCTGTATTCTCGAGTAATTTTACCGCCACTTCATTGCATTCTTGAATACTTGAAATTTGAAAACTTCAGCCAATCAAATGAAAGAAAAATGAGAATATTAAAAGTAGAAAATCGTTCTAACTATCATCTCAATTAATAATCCATGTTTTTTGTTATTCTTTCTCTATTTAGAAATCTGTATGAATTAATGGAACGATTTGTTGCTGACTCCAAGGTAGAGCTCTCCAAAGCAGAAGCTACTTGCGAGACAAATTCAGCAGCTGTTTTACCTAGTTGTGCCGACTTGTTTGTATTTTATAGAAAATGTTTAGTTCAATGCACCCAGCTAAGCAATGGGCAACCAATGTTGTCGCTGGCAGCCACCTTAAAGAAATATCTTCGTGAATATGCCAACAGAGTTTTACAAAATAATTTGCCAAAGTAAGTGAAGTATAATTATATCAGTGTAATAATTTAAGGCAATAAAGGAGTTCACGAGAAGAGTTTGGGTGCCAGGCTTGAAAACGTTTCTGCTCAGTCTTCGTGATTACTTTTGGGGATAATCTTTTGTTTTATGTCTGCAGCCGGATTGTTGAAACTTAACTGGCTATGTCGGCACGACAAGACAAGACATAGCCCTATCTGCGCCGAGTAATATATCGATTTTCGATTCTTGTCGTGCCGACATAAATTCCAACAATCAGGCTGTTGGTATGATGTGCTTTCAAACTTCCCTCCTGGGAAATTGCTGACCATAAATAACTTAGAATTACTTGAATATTAAAAACACGGGCCCATCAAAAAATAATTTAGAAACTCTGAGCATTTGAGAATAGATTTCAGAGTACTTTGTAGTTCTAAATCTAAAAATTATTTCAATTTCCTCCTCTGTCCACCAATTTCTGAAGAATCAAGATTTTCTATGTAAAAATGGTTGTTTCCAGAAAATTTGACTTTTCCAGGAAATTTACGCACAATAAAGGAAAACCTAGATTATTTTCATATTCTACAATTAAAAAGTTCTAAGGTAACAAGTATTGCGCACTTAAAAAAATGTTCTCTGTTATTTTTGATAAAAATCTTTTTCTGGTCAAATGGCAGAATCCGCCCAAATACCACAATTCAAAACTGCTCCGATTGTTTTTTGTATGAAAGGGTAGGAAAATTTGATTACCCAGATTTTCAACTGAGCCATCCCCCCCCCCTCCACTTTTTACTATGGAATCAGTAAATGACCTCAATTTTTCCATGACGTAATAATTTCTTGAAAATGACAAAAATTGCAACCATAATACCAATTTCTGAATGAGTGCATTTCCTGAGCAAAGGAGTTTTTGTTTTAAAGCAATGCAATGCATTTGAGCCTGGCTCAGAGTGCCTACCAGGAGATACCAGTATAAATTTGTCTTGTCAACGTAGTCTTTAATTTCTTTTATGATTTAGTAAATGTACTTATTATTACACTTCTCTCCTGTTTTGATTTTGTAGGCTGGGAGGAAACGTTCCATCTCTAACAGCAAGTGTCAGCAATATAACTAGGGACCTCCGAGACTTATCTTCTGCTGCTGTTCTCATCCGAGATTTTTCCCTAAGGTCTGGTCAGTCTGAAGTCAGCAGGTACACACCTCAGGAGCAAGCAAGGACGTGCTTGTAAGTTTATAGACAAATTTTTGTATAACCTCTACCGCCAATTCAAATCAGTCCGTTTTTTTCCTAATTTCATCCTAGAGCCTGATAGTTTGGTCAAACGAATAATAACGATGTTTGGTTGATTGACATGTTAATAGCAATTACTCCGTTAAAAAATAGTAATTTTTATGCTATGGTTTCATTTAGCTCCATTCAAGATATTATTTGGATAAATTTTAGAGCAAAATAATTATCCATTGGGCTCTAATATATATGGTAGTATAATCAAACTCAATGGTTGTTGCAACAGTTTCAGTTATAGATACTCTTGAAGTTTTTACATCTCATGTACTGTTAATATATTTATTGTCTTGTCTATTTAGCATTTTAACATCTGCAGAATATTGCCTTGAAACTACGCAACAGCTGGAAGAGAAACTCAAGGAAAAAATTGATCCAACTCTTGCAGATAAGATAAATTTATCACAAGAGCAAGATATTTTCCATAAGTGAGTTTTAACAAAATTTTATTTATTTATTCCTTGCTTTTATTTTCCTATTCATTCTACTGTTCAGGTAATTGTTGGCATGGATATTTATGAAATGTGCCTGCCGTTATCTTTGTACACATTAAACTGCCTTTCTGCACTTTAAGTTGTGAGCTCATTTGATTTTTAAATTCATTTCAGTACCTGCTGAATTGAATGAATTAAAATCATGATCAAAAATAAAAAATCATTTGATTATTTTGCTTGAATGATATCGTGGAATTTTGAATAGTTGTAAAATGATCTGTGATAATATATTGATTTTCAGTGACATTTTTACGGTGAAAAAGTTAATTTGGGGGGGGGNGTGTAAAAAGGTTTATTTTTTTATTTATTTCTCAATTTTTTTCCAAATCCATTTCGATAAACATTTGGGGAGAGTTAATTGAAATTTGGGGAAGGCTCGGAACTTCCTGCACCTTTGTTTCAATGTACATTTTGCTATTCCTCACTTTATGTATTTATATAATATTGTTGATTTCAAAGTGTTCAGTATTACAAAACTCTGAATGAATGATTCTGATTTCAGTGTGATATCTAATTGTATCCAGTTACTAGTCCAAGATCTGGAAATGGCATGTGAACCTGCTCTCATTGCCATGAGCAAGGTAAAGTTCAAAATTCGATTGTTACATTCTAGTTTTATTTTTAGTTTCAGTATTCTATTGTGAAATAATTATGGAGAACCGCACAAGATAAAGTTCAGAACAGCTTAAATAAGTACTCACTTGTGTCTTGTACTGGTACTCATTAGTGCTCAAAATTTTTGACTCAATTGAAATTTTTGGCCTTGATTTACCCGTAAAATAGTGCGTAACTAGCACTATTTTACCACTTTGTTTCTAACAGTTTAGGGCTCGTTTCTGAGTGGTTTTTACTTGGAGTAAAATGTCACCATTGCATACGAGTTTCGCCAGCTCCGCACCGTGGCATCCTCGATGCAATTTCTGAGTTGCTGAAATTCTTGCTGATGATGCTTGAGTATTTTCCCTCGTCTCCTTTGTCTCTCAATTTCACTAATCTGACTGCTGAAATTTTATGCATTCATCTCAATTTTTTCATTTGTTTGTTGTTTGTGATCTTAGTTTTTGCATCCATTTTGCTTTTGGTTTCAGATTCAATGGCAAAACTTTGAAGCAGTCGGAGACCAAAGTGCATATGTTGGTGCTATCACAACTCATCTAAAAACTACTGTGCCTATAATTAGAAATAATCTTGCCTCTTCTAGAAAATATTTTACCCAATTTTGTATAAAGTTTGTCAAGTAAGTTTCTATTATTTTTTAATATTCCTTCAAATTTTAGTAACTAAATGAAGTTTAGTGGTCAGGAATGTTTGTTAACAATCTTACAGTGAAATCTCAATTGTATTTCACTCTGGATCACACACAGCTGCTAAACAGCTGGAATGATCTTAATGCGAAACGGAACGGTCCCTTTTTGCAGAGTGGAATTTACACTAATGGAACATTTATCAGGGTTGCTAGAGTCAGGGAAAATGTCTAAAAAATTTTAAAAAATTTGGAAGAGGTACATTCACTTCAATTCGTATCGAGATCAGGTTTTAACGTACGTACGTCATTTTTTATGAAAATTCTAAGGTATGATTTGCTCCCTAGTCCGTATCGTATCAAAACTAGTTGAACATTCTATGTAGTTGAATATTTGTATCGCAGCAATGTTTGTACAAAGCATCTCAAAGTGCATCTCTTGATTCAGATTGCAAAGTACACATTCAGCCCATATTGAAAAGTTCGTATGAACAAGGCTACTGCAGCATTTTCCACCAAAATTTGATGCACCAAAGTTGTTAAAACTGTGTCAAGTTCTCTTGTACTTCAATTTGAACCACTAATTATTTTTATGTTTCATTTCTTTCTAGCTCGTTTATTCCAAAGTTTATTCAGTTCCTGTACAAGTGCAAGCCCATGTCCACTGTAGGTGCTGAGCAATTGCTGCTTGATACACATATGCTGAAAACAGTATTGCTAGATTTACCCTCAATTGGATCCCAGATCAACAGGAAAGCACCAGCTAGGTAAGTACATGAATTGCTGTTTTCTCTTATAATTAGAGGATGAATATAGTTGATCATTTTAAAAGGAATAACATTTAAAACTAAACTAAACTTAGCTATAAACAAGGGAAGGTTCCTATAATTGCTTGATCAAAGGAAATCTTCTGTTTTAATTATCAAAGAAAATCTCTTGTTTGCCATCAGTAACAGAATGAAATTATTTTGCCTCATTATTGCTTGGTTTGAATTCAGTATGGGAGTATCACATTTCTGTAAAATCATGAAGATTAGGTTTGGTCCGATTGCTTAATGTTGGCTCAGAAATTTAGAATTTTCAATGATATCTGTGTTGATAAATTTTTTTTATGAGCTACGAAAAAAAGGTTCGGTTTAAGGTACAGGTTCTGGTTCAAAAACCATGTTAAAGGTTTTGATCAGGAATGCAGAAAGTTCTTACTTAGTCTTAGTCCCATTTTTCAAACTAGCCTTCTCATTTTAAAAACTCATTTTTCTAAAAATTTACAAAGCTCTGACCATTTTGTCGTCTATTCTTAAATTGCTGCGATCACCTAAACAGCCTGAAAATTCCTCAACAATTCTTCAGATAACAATTAAAGCTTACTGCAATATTCGAAAAACCGCGAGTTTTTAACACATTTGCAGGCATACTTCCCAATTCTTACAGCCCTCCTTTTTTTTCACGCAAGCAGTCTTGCAATCAAGATTGAGGAAAAGGGAAATATCTGCATCTCTGGTTTGAATCATAAGTTCAAGGTTTGCACAATCGTATTATTGAATTGAACCACACAGATCAGTAACATTAAATCATAGCTCTTAATAATCTCAATCTTTATTTTGGTTACTTTCTTATTTTCACAGTTACACAAAAGTCGTCTTGAAAGGAATGACAAAAGCTGAACTAATTTTAAAAGTAGTAATGTCCCCTGAAGAGCCGGAGAGTGCATTTGTTGATCAGTTCTTGAGACTCTTGCCTGAATCTGATCTACCGGAGTTCCAGAAAATTTTAGAAATGAAGGTAAAGACATTCTTTTTCTTTGATACCAAAAAACAGATGCATATTTATGTGCTATTGCAGTCAGTGGTTTCCAACTCCTGTGGGTATCAAGAACAAAAATTGTCTGTTTTGTACACATTTTATCAATGCATGTAAGTAATTTTGGGAAGGCAGCAAGTGTTGTTTAGTGGTAGATTAATGCTGATCAAAAGGGCAAATATGTAACGCTGAAAATTGGATTTTTCAGCTTCCCTCCTCCCCCTTGTAACGCACCCATAACACGAGTCCACACCCCCCTTGATACAATTATGCAATGCACTGTATGCCCTCTCCCCTCTTGAACGTTTTAGAATGAATTCAAGATGAAAAATTACCATCTCAGTTTTTTAAAAAAAAAATTACCTTACTCAGCCATGAGCCCCCTCCCCTGTATTTCTCAAATGCAATGTGGTGCAATGCCCCCCGCCCCCTTCCTCCACTAGTTCATTACGTACATAGGGTGTCCCAAAACAACTGAGACCAAGTCTGTAATTCGGAAAGTATGATAGATATCGAAATGCGGTTTGTGAGAGGCTATAGTCCATACTATTAGCTATCAAACCTCAAAATTTGAGCTTATTGGCTTGAAAACTCACTGAGTTATAACATTTTTTCAGGGACGAGTTGAACAGAACCCTCCACTATTTTCGAGTAATATTTTTCATTTCGCGAACTGTTCGTGAGTGGCACTGCAGATCGCGACGCTGTGGATCAGGTGGAGGGATGAAGTGGTCACTGTTCTGGATGCAGGTTTTATCCTTTTAACATGTGTTTTCATCGAAAACGTCCACGGGAAAGCTCAGTGCAGCCGAAACCATCAAGCGCGACAGAGTGTTTTCTCGCGAAGCGTAATGAGTTCGCCCGCTGAGTTGAAAAAAGAACAACGTTATGCCATTCGCTATTGCGTTTGCCGTGGCCTTTCTGACCTCGATACTTTAAATGAGATGACAGTTGCTTATGGACTAAATCCACTTGGGAAAAGTACCATTCTTCGTTGGCATAAATGCTTTTCCGAGGGTCGAGAGTCGGCAGCTTGTTTCAACTCAGCGGGCGAACTCATTGCGCTTCGCGAGAAAACACTCGGTCACCCTTGACGGTTTCGGCTGCACTTAGCTTTCCGACGATTGCGATGAAAACACATGTTAAAAGGATAAAACCTGCATCCAGAACAGTGACCACTTCATCCCTCCACCTGATCCACAGCGTCGCGATCTGCAGCGCCAGTCACAAACAGTTCGCGAAATAAAAAATATTACTCGAAAATAGTGGAGGGTTCTGTTCAACTCGTCCCCGAAAAAATGTTATAACTCGGTGAGTTTTCAAGCGAATAAGCTCAAATTTTGAGGTTTGATAGCTAATAGTATGGACTATAACCTCTCATAAACCGCATTTCGATATCTATCATACTTTTTGAATTACAGACTTGGTCTCAGTTGTTTTGGGACACCCTATGTATTTTATGAACAGCTCCAAACTTAACCAACTGATAGTAAAAAGAGTCATCCAGTAAAACTAAATAAGTAGAAGAATCTTCACCACTGTAAAAACATCTGAATTGCCAAATTTCCAAAAAACGCAATTGAAAAAGCTGTGCTTGCTGTCAATTTTCAAGTGAACCTTGATTTTTCATTCTTCTTTATTCTTTTTTTTAAAATTAGAATTTGTACAAAATATTCAGAAGCAAACCAAGAGTCTTACTGGTAGACCTAGGTTAACCATGGCATATTGTTGTTTACCTGACAATCTACGTCTAGGATTGATCCTATGCACTCGTATGAAAAGGTGTGAAGTTGCAGAGTACCTACAGCATTCTGTGAGCTTGTTGAATCTTCCTAAGTCAAAGGTTTTTTTTTTTTTTTTTTTTTTTTTTTTTTTTTTTTTTTTTTT